GGAGGGAAGGCTGTTGTGAGCTGAGGACATGTTCCATCCTTTTCTTCCTCTAAGGGGAGGGATGGGAAACGTCCAGCCCACAGGCCATATAAGGCCGGAGAAATCATTTGCTCTGGCCCTGCCAAGGCATTAAGGGTGAGTTAGTTAAATGTTTGACCAAATATCGCAAGCTATTTTTTAAGTTGATAATTTTGTATGGCCCATGAATGATGTTATACATATCCAAATGGCCCTTGGCAGGAAAAAAGTTTCCCACCCAGGTTCTAAGGAAGTACAGTGTCTTATATAAATTCAAGAATTTCCACCTCAGACACATTTTCTCACACATCCTTTATAATTATTATATTCTAACTCTGGCCCAAATGACTCAGGAAAAAAATATAAAATATATAAAAATTCATAATCCTATATAATAAAATCCTAACATGCAAATCAACCGAATGACAGAACGACTGGTAGCTATGATGCACACTGACCACCAGGGGGCAGACACCCAATGCAGGAGCTGCCCCGTGGTAGTCAGTGCACTCCCACAAGGGAGCTCCTCTCAGCCAGAAGCTGGACTCATGGTTGGGGAGTGCAGCGGTAGTGGCGGGGAGCCTCTCTTGCCTCTGTAGCAGCGCTAAGGATGTCCTGACTGATGGCCCCCAGACTGCGAGAGGGCGCAGGCCAGGCTGAGGCACCGCCCCCCGCCCCCCCCCCCAGTGCATGAATTTCATGCGCCAGGCCTCTAGTATGTAAAATATTTTTTAAACACTTTAAAAGTATTTTTTTAAATGTATGATCCTTATGGTTTAGCCATCTTGCTGGCTTTCTCCATAAAATTTTTCTGTCTTACTTTGATTCAAAGAGAAGAAAATTTCTTCCCTAAATTCTTACAAATATGTTTTACCTCCTGATTTGCAGTTCTCAAGTTACTTAATATTATTATCAATGTATACTTTTATCACTTCACTACGGTGATTCTCAGAGGCTTGCCTTCCAGGGGTTTGCTTTCCAGGGTGATTAGAATCACCGTGGAGCTGTTTCAAATGTTGTATTGGTCCCTAACATTTTGCAATGTCTGAAGACCATTTTTGGTTGTCACAGCTGTGGGGGTTTAGGGGGAGGTTGGTGTTCTACTAGCATCTAGTGAGTAGAGGCCAAAGAATAACCCCTCACAACAAAAAATTATCTGGTCCAAAATATTAATAGTGCTGAGGTTAAGACACCTGCTTTCTATCCTCTCACCACTTTAGGGGATGCAGAGCCTTATAGTTGACAGTTGCAATAGTAATGGGGTAGAACTCCTCAAGGGTGTTTGGGTTTTTAAAAAAGGAATTAGAATCTCTGCTGTACTATATTGTGGATTTGTATGGAGTTTAACTATGTGTTATCCATCTTTGTACTCCCCTCCCCCATACACATAACGATATGCTCAAATTCTATAGCCTAACACTGAACTTGAATATCGTCATATGCATGAGTGAATGTTCCTATGGACTCTAACACTGAGACCAACTAATGTTTTCTTAAGATAATTTTCTGATGACAACCTCATGATATTAGAGATATCCACCAAAATATCTAAAGTTCCTGTTTTAGTCTTTTAGGGCTCCATAACAAAATATCACAGACTGGGTGGTTTAAAGAGGCTTGTGGACAGCCACCTTCTTGCTATGTCTGTGCACATGGCGGGGAGGGGTGGGGAGGGGGAAGAGAGAGAGCTCTCTAGTGTCATCTCTTATTATTATTATTAGCGTACCAGTCCTATTGGATTAGGAAACCATCCTTATGACCTCATTTAACCTTAATTATCTCCTTAAAGGCTCTATCTCCAACTATAGTTACAAAGGAAGTTAGGGCTTCAAGATATTGAATTTGGGAGGCGGGGAGACAACATAATTCAGTGCATAACAGTTTCCTTAAATTATTTTGAAGTGATTATCTTTGAAGTTTTAGAAACATTTTATATTGTATTTTATTCTATAACCTTTGTAGGTTGTGGAATCCCATAAAATTCTTACCTATTATGAAAAATAATAATGTACTCTATCTATGCTTTTTACTATTTGTATATTATTTTACAATTCCCCTCAGCCATTGCCTTCCAAAACTGAAAATTATAAATATCTTTATCCTCCTCTCAAATGCCATATCGCACTTGGTCATTTTAGGTGTTGAATTGTGACTTTTTGGAAATATCTCTAATAGTGTACGTCATGGTTTTGTACTAGGATGGGGCTGCATCTTCTGTTTCGTTGTATTTTTGTTGTTGTTTTGTTTCTAGTGACCTCCCTGTTATGGCCTATATTTTATGATACTTGGCTGCCTGGAGTAGTCTTTCAGTAATAACTACATTTCTTCTCTGACTTCAAATGATTACTCAAAGCGGATTTCTTCTAGAAGATCACACACAACCATAGGACTGCGTGTATGTTTGGGTGTGGCAGCCTGAAGAATGCACACCACCCCCTACCAAAGATAGTCACATCCTTTGCAGACATGATTAACTTCAGGTCTTGAAATGGGGAGATTACCTTGGATTATCTGGCTGGGCCAGTGTGTTCACAAAGGTCCTTACAAAAGGGAGCAGGAAGAGCAGAGACAGTGGTAGGAGATGTGATGATGGAAGCAAGAGGATGAAGTGATTTGAGGAGGGATCAGGAGCTCAGGAATGAAGGTGGCCTCTAAAAGCCAAAAAACGGGTAAGGAAGTGCATTCTCCCTGAAGCCTCCAAAAAGAAGGCAGTCCTACCAACATCTTAATTTTACTTTTGACTTCCAGAACGGTAAAAAAATAAATTTGTTGTTTAAGCCACTAAGTTTGTGATAAGTTTGTTATAGTAGCAACAGGAAACTAATATGCCAGAGAAGAACTTTGGCCTAAGATTTTATTTTTGGCTGACCTTGAAACTCTTTGCAAAAAGAAGTGAAGGCTAAGGCAGAGGTATAAACTGCTTGCACAAGTGTTGAAGGCATGCCTGGCATGCACATAGACCCCCCTCAGCAAAGGCTAAGAGACTTTTTGGTTCAAGACATCTAAGAAAATCTCTGACCAACCAGCCATTAGCTGACAACTAAGCTAACCAAGCAGAGAGTTCAGGTGCCATGCAAACATACTTTAGTGAATTAGTTCAGGAAAGTAACTAAACAAACAGCAACAACAACTCTTTTCAAAAGTATATATATATATTATTGATTTTTTACAGAGAGGAAGAGAGAGGGATAGAGAGTTAGAAACATCGATGAGAGAGAAACATCGATCAGCTGACTCCTGCACACCTCCTACTGGGGATATGCCCTCAACCAAGGTACATGCCCTTTGACCAGAATCGAACCTGGGACCCTTCAGTCCACAGGCCGACGCTCTATCCACTGAGCCAAACCGGTTAGGACAACAACAACTCTTTGAGGGGAGAGAATCTCATATTCAGAGTTACCACATTATGTTATTTAACATGTCCAGTTTTTAACAACAAAATGAGGTAAACAAGAAAATATGGTCCACACACAGGATAATTTTTTTAAAAGGTAGTAAGGTAGACTTCCCTAAGGAAGACTACATGTTGGACATAATAGACAAAGACTTTAAATCATCTGTTTTACGGTAATTATGTTAAAGAACTAAAATAAAGTGTGAGAACTATGTCTCACCAAATAGAAAATATCTTAAAGAGGTAAAAATTATAACAAAGGAATTAAATAGAAATTCCAGAGTTAAAAAGTACAATAACTCACATGAAAAATTTACTAGAGGGACTCAACATTAGATTAGAGCTGGTAGAAGAATCAATAAATTGAAGATGGGTAAATTCGGATTGTCCAGACTGAGGAACAAAAAGAATGAAGAAAAATGAACAGCCGGCCAGAGTGGCTCACTTGGCTGAGTGTCGTCTTGTGCACTGAAAAGTTGCTGGTTTGATTCCCAGTCAGGGCACATACCTGGGTTGCAGGTTCAGTCCCTGATCAGGCAGGTACAGAAGGCAACCGATTTTTTTTATTTTTTATTTTATTTTTTTTTTTTTTTTTTTTTTTTTTAAGCCATGTTCTAGTCAGGTTCTCTTGCCATGTTCTATCCAGGTTCTGTAGCCAGGTTCTGTCTCTAGGTTCTTCAGCCAGGTTGTCTCGCTAGGTTCTGTCTCTAGGTTCTGTGGCCAGTTTCTGTCCAAGATCTTTTGCCATGCAATCGATTTTTTTAAAATATTTTTTTATTTATTTCAGAGAGAGAAAGGGAGAGGGAGAGAGAAACATCAATGACGAGGGCTAATCATTGATCGGCTGCCTCCTGCAAGTCCCACACTGGGGATCTAGCCCACAACCCAGGCATGTGCCCTGACTGGGAATTGAACCATGAGCCTCCTGGTTCATGCTCAACCACTGAGCCACACTGGTTGGGTGGGAAGACAACCAATTGATGTTTCTCTCTCACTTCGATGTCTCTCTTCTCTCCTCTCTCTCTCAGTCTCTCTCCATCTCCCTCCCTTCTTCCATCCCTTTCTCTCTAAGCATGTCCTCGGGTGAGGATTAAAAAAAAAAAAAGAAAGTAAAATGAACAGAGCCTCAGAGATCTGTTAGGCACCATCAAGCATTATGTATAACTAGAGGCCCCGTGCATGAAATTCATGCATGGGTAGGGTCCCTAGGCCTGGCTGGTAATCAGGGCCCATCTGTGGGGTGACCAGTGGGGTGATCAGGGGGCTTCCGCTGGGACCCGCCAGCATTCTCCTTGGCCAGCCTGGCACCACCTGCTTGCCGGCCCTGCCCCCCGCCACCACCGGTCACCTCCCTCTGTGGGGTGACCGGTGGGGCAATCGGGGGATCCCCGCTCACATCACCTTGGCTGGCCTAGGGCCTGAGGGCTGGGGCAGCTCCTACATTGAGCATCTACCCCTGGTGGTCAGTGCTTGTCATAGAGACTGGTCGTTCCACTGGTCATTCTGTCGTTCAGTCAATTTGCATATTAGGCTTTTATTATATAGGATGAGAGTCCCAGAAGGAGAGGAGAAAAGAGGAAGGAGAAGAATATTTGAAGAAATAATAACTAAAAACTTTCCAAATTTGATGAAAAATATTGACTTACATGTTGTCAGAACTCAGCAAACTCCAAACAGAATAAACTCAGAGATCCATACCTAAACACATCATAATCAAACTGTAGAAAGACAAAAACAAAATATTGAAAGCAACCCAACACATACAAGGGACCCTCAGTAAGTTAATGGCTGATTTCTCATTAGAAACCTTGGACTTCAGAAGGCAGTGGGATGACAGTCAAAATGCTGAAAGAAAAGAACTGTCAACCAAAATATCTATGTCCAGCAAAATTATTCTCTAAAAGTAAAGACACTACATCAAACAAAAAGCTTCTACATAGCAAAGGAAACTATCAACAAAATGAAAAGGTAACCTACTGAATGGGAGAAAATATTTACAAATCATATATTTGATAAGGGGTTAATATCTAAAATACATAAAGAACTCATACAACTCAATAGCAGAAAACCAATACAATTTAAAAAATGGGAAGAGGAAACAAATTGACAGGTACATGAAAAGGTACTCAACATCACTAATCAGGGAAATACAAATCAAACTATAATAAGATATTACCTTACACTTGTTAGAATGGCTACTACCAAAGAGACAAGAAACAACAAGTGTTGGTAAGGAAGTGGGGAAAAAGGAACCCTTGTGCACTACTGATGGGAATTGGTGCAGCACTATGGAAAATAGTTCAAAGGTTCCTCGAGAAATTAAAAATAGGACTGCTATATGATCCAGTAATTCCACGTCTAGGCATTTATCCAAAGGAAACGAAAACATTAACTTGAATAGATGTATGCACCCCATGTTCATTGTAACTTTATTTACAGTAGCCATCAATGGATCAATGGATAAAATTATCCCCTGAGAAATTCCATCATTGACATTTCATCTCTGAAAAAAATTCCACCTTCATCTTTTACCATTTTTATTATTGAGGATAAACTTCTTTTTTTTTTTAAATGCAGAATGATGGCTGTTTTGGTACTTCAGGAGGAATTCGTTCTTTTCAGCTTCACAACTGGAAACAGAAAGTTAGTCAGCCTAAGAAAGCAGAATTCATACGCACAGCAGAAAAATTAAAAAATCTGTAAGTATAAAAACACTGTTTTCAAATAACATTACTAGTAATTTCTTTTAAAAATATATTTTATTGATTTTTTTACAGAGAGGAAGGGAGAGAGATAGAGAGCTAGAAACATCGATCAGCTGCCACCTGCGCACCCCCTATGGGGATGCACCTGCAACCAAGGTACATGCCCTTCAGTCCTTAGGCCGACGCTCTATCCACTGAGCCAAACCGGTTAGGGCACTAGTCATTTTATTATGAACAATGTATAAAGTTAATTCTACTCTACCCTGTCCAATCTCCACATTAAGTTACAAAAAATTGGTCATTAGAGAAAGGTGGAGTGTGTACAATAGACAAATGATAAGAGACTATTTAATATAAAGTTAATTTTAAGTGCAGTTATTTGAATTTTATTTATTTTTTCCATTTGAACCAGTCTCTTTCAAAGGAGACAATATAGTTATTTCTTTAGATCTCATATATCAAATAACAGATTGAATATATTTTCATTTACCAAGGTTAGCATTTGGTAAATATTTTTAAGTGAGTGAACAATTATAATGAAAAATCTCTACCTCGAGTTATTTTTTGAAATGTCCTTTTATTTGGTCTCCCTCTCATGGTTTCTGTCCCTTTCAGATCCATCCTGCACATAATGATTAGGCTGAGAACTTTTAATTTGTGGTGTATTTGTATTTTTTCTTTAAATAACTAGTGATATGCACAGGGTGCCCCCCCCAATGTATACACACTTTGAGTAGTTATTAATTCCAATGGGTTAAATCTGAAGAGAAAGAAACATCAATTGAGCTGTCAAAAATATATGTGTATATTTTATGGGATGCCCTATATTGAATGTTCAGTGTTATATATATCATGAGGAATGATAAAAGAATTAGAACTCAGAGCAGTCAACCCTACCTTACAATTGAGAAGTATGTCAAAACACTTCTTTGAAATTTTAAAGTATCAATTTGCTGAAGAACCCAGAGAAAAGGAGACTTGTAAAAAATGGTCTCTGGACTAGAATTAGTGGCAGTGGTCCGTTTAGAAATTCTACCAATGAAAAAGTAATGCTGCTTGAAATTTGCAAAGTTGTACTATACTATAGCTTTGGGACATTGAATTCTCAATTGCATTTATATAATACTTATATACTACTTTTAATACTCAGAATTTGAGAAAATACAGTTTTATTTTCTTTGATTTCCAAAATGTATTACCTTGGATAGCATTAGACTCTTGGTTAAGGGTTCTCGTTTATGTTTCTCTCTCAACAGGTGATCTACCAAGAAGTTAATGTCCATATATATATATAGCAAACCAGTAGATTATGCCAGTCTTGTTCCTTGTCTACCAGTATGTGCTGGTTTTACAGCTCTGAGTAGGCTTTCTTCATCTGTTAAAAGGTTTTGGAAAAACTCATTGGGAGAATGTGAAAAAAATCCATTGGAAGAATATTTCTATCCAGCAATTCTCATTATGTACAAAGAAAAAACAAAACACAGTTTGTAATAACTCTGTTTTATTTTCAGAATAGATAAAACATTCACGTGGTTTAAAATTCATTGCATATCAAAGGGTACACAGTGAAAAGTCTGTTTCGCCCATGACCCCAGCTATCTACTTCCCCTCCTCTCACACAACCACCATTTTTAGTTTCTTGTGTATGGTACCACAGATATTTTATAATCTGTGCTTATAAAGAAATAAAAGTACATATTCATAGTTTGTCTTTTTTATATAAATTTCAACATCTGTTCTGGATCTTGAGTATTGTTGTGTGGTTTTTTTTAACTTAAGAGTATATCTTAGATACTAAGGGATTGTACCTTGTCAGGCATGAGAGTGGCATTATAGTGATGTAAGGCAAATATCCATAATCTCTAGAGATGCACACTGAAGTATGTTGGGGTGAAATTAAATAATGAAATGGGTTTAATTTAGAATACTTAAGCTGGAAGTAAAAAGATAGATGAGCCAAGAGAGGAAGAAGAGGTAAAATTGTTGAATCAGAGTGATATGAGGGGAATAATATCATTTGAAGGTATACAATTTAGCATTTTCTACTTTTGGGTATGACTAACATTGTCATATAAATTCTTTGTTATAAAAAGTATGTGTAGTGGAGATCTTTCCTTATCAGTACATGGAACACAGTACCACTGCATTGTATTCCAGGTTAAATAAATTATAATTGTGACATAATTTATTTAACCTACCCCTTAGTGATGGACATTTAGGTTATAGTCAATCTTTTATTATAACAAACAGTGCTGCAATTAATTGCCATATTCACATAGGTCCACACCATTTTGCATATGTGTGGGTATATCTTTAGGAAATATTCCTAGAAGTAGAAATTCTGGGTCAAAGTTATATGAATATGCACTGATATATTGCCAAATGGTCCTCCATACACAATTTACGATTTCACCGACAATGTATGAGAGGACCTATTTTCCCACAGTTTTACCATTAGAATATCTTATTTAAACTTGTGATTTTTTTGCCAGTCTGATAGGTGTATAGTGTTGCCATGGTATAGTTTTAATTTTCATTTCTTCTATTGTGAGTGAGGTTGATCATCTTTTCATATGTTTGGCAATTTGTCTCCATTATTATCTTTTTAATGTCTTTATGGGTTAATATTTCTAACCCAGGAATGGCAAAACATAACTTACTTACTGTCATAGTACATCCTCTGTCAATGCTAGAAATTTCTATTTGATCATAGTAATTTTCCCATCCCTAGTTGGAGTCTAGATGGGCTTTCCAGTCCTCAGCACAGGACTCCAGTAGCCACCATCAATCCATCAGAGTTGACCTGCAGGCTGAAATCTATTTGACATCTCTGTTCTACTCATTGCTTCCTCTCTGAAACACAGGTGCTAAATTATGATCCCCTCAGTGTTTGGGGTGGTCAGGTAGGGCCTGCAGCAGCCTCATCTGTTTTACCAAGTATGCCTTATGAATATCAAATTTTTCTCTATGTGTGCCAAAGTGAAAAAGGTTGGGAACTCTATCTTAGATAGTTGCCCCTCAAGTTATATGAAAGTAAGTCAATGGCTAGAGATACTCCACCTCTCCTTAAATCCAGGATTAGTAGAGATGTATTCATATTAATTTCCACCTTCCGGGAGAAGGAGAGCAGGTATTAAGAAAATAAATTATTTTGTCCAACTAAAAAGTTTCTTGTTAGTACTGTGTTTATTTTGTTTTACCCCAGGATTCAAACTAACAGACCTTACTGGTAGATGAACTAAAGCAAAGAAGCTTTGAAGTAAATGTAGACAGTATCCCTTAAATACAATAAAATTTCTTAGATTGTTCGCCTCTTGAAGTTTTAGTTGTATTAATAATATTAATGACTTGCATTTCCATAGCACATTTTTACTGTATAAAGATCCCTCATACCTGTTATCTCATATAATGAAATTACAGCCCTGTTGGGTAGTGGAGAACTATTATTCACATTTTAGCGATGAAGGGTAAATGTCTTGGTTCAGGTTATAAAGTTAACAGTATCTTCTACTAAAAGCAGCCATCACCAGTGGCAGCCGCTTTCAGGCACAGGGAGATTGCACTGGAATCAACAGTCAAAGGTTTATGTATTTTAAAAGCAAGTCTGCATTTTTTTAAATTAACATTTTATAATTTAAATAATTCAAGTTACTTGTGTTAGTTGAGCTTAACTCTTTTCTAGCTACTATTTTGACTCCTTAGCCTTATTATTCAAGTCATTATATTTTGACTCCTTAGATGAATGAATTCAAATATAAAGTTCTGATTATTGTGTCTTCATAATTTAAACAATTAAAAATATATTTAAGTCATATTTATACCATTTATTTCTTTTTCTAAAGAGTTACTAACATAGAAAAAGATAAACACAGTCATTTCTACAACCAAAAAAGTGACTTCAGAATTGAGCATAGTATGCTGGAAGAATTGGAAAATAAATTGATTAACAGCAGGAAAACAGAAAGTAAGTTGAGTTCATGATGAACAAAAACTGTTGAGTGACATAAAGTTGTAGTTTTGCCCTGTGCTTTGTATCTGTGCATTGACTTATGTTTTCTATCAAGACACTTTCTAGTTAGGAATGTGTTTGTCTTTTAGGGATATGTATTTATTTTGTCAGCTATTTAGTGATTCTAGTTGGATTGTTTTCTGTGTGCATTTCTCTCAATTTAATAGGAAAAAGAGGGTTCTGGTTTTTGGCTGACAAACTAGATAATGTTATTAAAATTTCTTAAAAGAAATTAATTCCTGGGTTATCTGGTCTTAGCTCATCATAACAGTATGAAGTGATCAGGTCACATAATCCTGTAAAGTTGAGTGTACTTGTCTGTGATACAACACCTACCATTTCTACCTCAGGGCAGTTGTTCTGTACATCCCATGAAATAATATATGAAAAAGTGCCTTATAGATTACACAGAAAATGTTTTATTGTTTGCTATGAATATCAGTCATTGTTTATAGTGTACTAAATGTTGATCTTAAAGAATTCTACAAAAATATCTTCTTTTATTGAAGAGTAGATTTTATATGTTGAAAAATTCTTAGGTTATAATAAAAAATTGCTTAGCATTGTTTAAAGGAAAAATAATGGTTATCAACTAACTAAGCTTTATAAAATATTGATTTATAAATCCCTTCTAGCCAATTAAAAGAAATTCTTAATTTTTTTCTTTCAGAACATAAGATTGCACTATTTTAAAAGTCATCGTTTGTTGGGTACTGGCAAGAATCATTCTCCCTCTTCTATTTGAATGACAACAGGACCTATTATAAAACCAGATTTTATATCAGTTCTCCTCTTTGATTCATAGAGAAATCTAAATATCCCTAGTTTAATATTTCTTAAATTCCCTCCGTTCTTTTATAGACACTGAGAAGCTGATCTTTATATCTCTCAGTTGTGCTACTATGTATAGTGTCTCCATTCTCTGCATTTTAAGTCACTTCATTTTCTCTTTTTAAGGCAGCTTTATTTTTATCTTTTTATTCTTTTCTGCTATACTTTTGTTTCTCTTTATTAACACTTTGTGTTTGTCTTATCAAGGAGAGGAAGGAATGCACTTAATATAAGGCTATAGAGGCTTTCCCTCCACTATTACAGCCCAGAAGTAGTAAATTTCTTTTCCTTACCTCAAACATCATGCCACAATATTAGCCTGCATTTATGTATTTAAATGGTTTGTACTTTAATGGTTTGCCTAATAGAGTGGCAGTTCCAAATGAAGAAATAAAAGATTACTTGCCCTATAGAGATGTTACTGTAACTGATCAAACTGTGGCAAACACACACACACACACACACACACACTCTCTCTCTCTCTCTCCTAATTGCTTACATTACTAGAGAAGTTTCTTGATTTAAAGTTCCAACAGTGAATAAGACTTTTTATAGGATAATTTTTATCCTATAAAAATACATTGGATAAAGTTTCTGCTCTTCTGGAACACTTGAATTTTAATTAAGAAATAACAAGCCAGAGTCACATACACATATTTGAGGTTTGTTTTGGATATTAGCATTGGCTCCAGGCCTACTGGTAACCTTTTTTTTAAAAAATTATTTTAAAGACTTTTGGACAGAGCTGTTTGGTTTTTCATGCTGATTTTTGAAGCATTAAAAAAAATAGAGGGGCATACTAAAGTACCCAAAGATGATAAAATAATATTACTATTATATATCACACAAATATAGATGTATGAATGTAAATATATGATTTTAGTCTATATAATTGAAATAAATACGAAAGTAAGAGTATTACTTCAGATGGAAAACTCAAAAGAGGAATCTAGGATTTCTGCTGCTGATACAAAACATCTGAAAAAGTCTTTGAGACCCTCCTCCATTTTTCGGGCTTTTATTGTGGGCCCAACGTTTTCAGGCTGATCCTTGGGATGAGCTTGGCAGCCTATAGTGTAGATGTCACTGAATGGCACCTGAAAGCACTTTGTCAAGGCTGTGACAGTCAGTCACTCTAAGATGTGGTTAGATGAAATTAATTCTCATTAGGAAGTTTGTCAGTATTCATAGAATTAATATTCAGTTTTAATATTCTAAAAATAGAGTTGAGATCTATTCAAATTCTATTCCCATAAAACTGTAACAAATTAAAAAGAAAATAAAACTCTGTTGAAGAATAAAATACGATTAAGCCTAAGCTACTGATCCATGTATTTAAAAGAGTGTCCAATAACTCAATCTCCACAGAGTAAAGAAAAAGACATTTCCTTGGCACAGGTTATAGTAAGATTTACCCCACTGTGCTTTTAAATATTGGAGGAAATTGAGAGATGCTTTATTTAGAGCAAGGGTACTTATTAAAAGGTTCAGGCTGTATTGACACTTAAGTAACCATCTTTTGTTGATTATTTAATTTCTCTTGGCTATCTTTTACTAAGTGAAGATGTGCTGTCTCAGGTGTAGAATCCTGAACTGTAACCATGTTTGTCATAGAATTATTTTAAAGTACATACTTCTTCCTTATAGGATCAAAAATCCAGACACAATTGGCCAAAATACATAATAATGTAAAGAAACTTCAGCATCAGTTAAAAGATGTGAAGCCTACACCTAGTTGTAAGTACATTTAGATTTTATATTCTTACATATTAGTATTTTTTATTGTTCATTAGAAACATTTTTACTTTTCTAATAAGAATTTGTCTCTTTAGCATTAATGGAACTAAGCCCTACTTTATTGGTTAGGGATTGATAATACATTAGAGAACTGTATTCTCTGATGTTTACACAGCTTTTTATCTTTAAAATGCTATAAATCCTGCCCTAGCTCAGTTGGTTGGAGCATTGTCCTGTATACCAAAAGGCTGCAGGTTCGATTCCCTGTCAGAGCACATACCCAGGTTGCATATGCCGTCGATGAAGAGGAAAAAAAGACTGATTTCCTTATGTTTACATAAGTAAAGAGGAAAGGATGCAATTTTATTTCTTTACAAATGACTATTATTTGTCCTAATATTATTTAACCATTTCTTTAGGCATTTGAAATGCCTCTTAAAAGGCAATTATTTCAAAAAGCAAATGATGGGAAAACCACTAGGCTAAGAATCAGGAAATCAGTCTTTTTTCCTCTTTATTGACTGCATATGAATCTTCCATTACCACCGATTCTTCATCCTGTAAATGACCCTAATATCTGTTCTGCCCACTCCACAATTTATAAAAATTTATAGCATTTTTAAAAAATCCTCACCTGAAGGTATGTTCTATTGCTTTTGAGAAAAAGAGAGAGAGAGAAAGAGAGAGAGAGAGAGAGAGAGAGAGAGAGAACATCTATGTTAGAGAGGAACAGTAAAGCGCTCAAGATGAATAGATTTTAAGAATCAAACAGATGTTGAGTCAAATTCTTGATCTACCAGTTATGTGACTCTAGGCAAGTTACTTGATTTTTCTTAACTTTCATTTCTTGGCTCTAAAATGAAAATAACCACAGGACCTAACTCAGGGTTGTTGGGGGATGAAGTAAGACAGTGTACTGTATTTATAGTTTAGGAAGCACTAAAAATGGCAAATATGAATATTATAGTTTGTTAAATTAATACATGAAACCATAAAAATACTAGAAGAGAACATGGGCTAATATTTTTATAATTGTACTAGATGCCCAATGCATGAAATTCGTGCAGGGGTGGGGGACCCCTCAGCCTGACCTGTGTCCTCTCGCAGTCCAGGAGCCCTCAGGGAGTGTCCGCCTGCCAGCTTAGGCCCACTCCCCATGGGGAGCAGCCCTGAGCCAGCAGTCAGATATCCTTCTCACAGTCTGGGAGCCCTCACTCCTTACCACCCGCCTGCTCGCTACTCCGTACCACTTAGCTGGCTGCTCCCTAGCACTGCCACAGAGATGGGAGAGGCTCCGGCCACTGCCGCTGTGCTCACCAGCCATGAGCCCAGCTCTGGCTGAGTAGCACTCCCCCGGGGGGAGCACACTGACCACCAGGGGGCAGCTCCTGCATTGAGTGTCTGCCCCCTGGTGGTCAATGCACATCATAGTGACCAGTCATTCCGCCAGTCGTTCTGCTGTTCAGTCGATTTGCATATTAGGCTTGTATTATATAGGATTATAATTTATAAGAATGACAAAGATCAGAAAACATAAAGAAAAAAGTGGGCAAAATTGACTGCTTAAAAAAACAAAATACCAAGGAAAGCCCATAAACCCTACATAAGCAAAGTTGAAAGACAGGAAAATGTTAGTGATATATGTAACTTAAAAAGCTAATATACATCTATATATGTAAATATATCTACACTAATAAAAGAGAAACATGGTAATTGGCGTACGACTGCTACCCTTCCCATTGGCTAATCAGCGAGATATGCAAATTAACTGACAGCCAAGATGGCGGCCGGCAGCCAGGCAGCTTAAACTGAACATGAGGCTTGCTTGCTTCA